CCAAGACAAGGTAAGACAGTCCTTCAAAATTCCTGCTTCACAGAAAATTCTGTCAGATATTCTAGTCCTGTAGGCTGAAGATAGTTGCCCCACGGTTGTAGAAGAAATTGGGTGACTGTCCAGGCAGCCAGCTGTCTCTGTCACTTCTATAGTTTTGGAAGCTGATTGCTCTGCATTTCTTGTGTACTTAGGTAATATTATATCCTTCTTGGGTCTTTGATGAGTTGAAGACTAGATAGTTATGGTTACAGTTTTCCTTGTTACCAAATTCAGAAAAGAATCTTACACAAGAAATGTCAAGTGCATAAGGTTGAGAGACATAAAAGCTTAAGTTGTTTATCTAAAACTATGATAGAAAGTGGTTTAATGGTATAAAACTTTGGACTCACTAAGACAGGATAGATAATACAAAAATTTCTCCAAATTTGCCAAATACAAGTGAACTGGACATTGTGAATGTAATTCTTACTTGATAATAGTTCTTATTGTATATAATTTTACTGTATTAGAGCTAAAACCTTTCCTTTTTATTTAGACAAAAAGGGAGAACTGTTGTGGGATATTTGTACACTGTGTGAAGATGTACTGCTGTGACTGGTGTACTAAAAAGCTGAACAGCCAATAGCTAGGCAGGAGGTATAAGCAGGACTTCCAGGTAGAGAGAGAGAAACTGGGAGGAGGAATCTAGGCATGCGATTTTGCCAGCAGACTTGGAGGCAAGCCAGATGTGCGTACTAAGAAAAGGTGACAGCACCATGTGGCAGAACACAGATTAAAAAAATAGAGGTTAATTAAGTTATAAGAGCTAGTTGGGAAAAAGTCTAAACTAAGGCCAAGCTTTCATAATAAGTCCCCAGGTCATTATTTGTGGGCTGGCAGTCCAAAGTTAGTCCAACAAGAAAGCTTGCTACACACATTATATATATATAGATATAAAACCACACACATATTTTATATATATATATATATATATATATATATATATATATATATATGTATGTATGTATATATTCACATGTGTGCACACGCATGTACACAGAGAGGGGACTCTAGCAATTCATCAGTTACATTTCAGGTTTTCCTATCCTACCACTGAAAGCTTGAACTTTGGTATAGATTCTCTCTACCAACTGCCACAACTTTTGTGGTAGCAATTTGTTCTATAATCACTTTTCTAATGTATTTAAAACTGGTTTTTGGTTTGCAACTTTTTACCTGTTATTTAAAATGTAGGGTCTTCAACTTCCTTACATCAAGAACTTGGAATTCTGTTTCTGAAATATGTTTTAGCTGTGTATAGTATTCTAGGCCTAGTTTTCTTTCAGCAGAGATGCTGCTTCAGTGTTTTCTGATTTAGGTTTCTGAGAAGACTGCTATTTTCATAGAAATGTTTAATATCACTGGTTTCAAGCATGTGATTTCCTGTTTCTTGTGCCTGGAATTCACTGAGATTCTTTGGTTTATGGGTTTCGTTCTCCTATTTGTTGCTTTTCATCTAGAATTTCAAGCATTATTTGTTACCCTTCCTTTTTTCTTTAGGGACTCTAATAACAAGACTACTGAGGCACTTCACTGACATTGAACACCTTTTCAGAACTTTCCCCTCATGCTTCTAAGTTCACTAATCTTCTTTTTGTGAGATTAAATCTGTTAATTCCATTCAATGCACATGACCTGACATTGTGTTTGTTTTTGGAAGGCTAACTCAACCTTTCTCTTAAGACTCGACAATTACCTTCTTTTCCACTACATGCACTCAAGGAATACACTATTAATACACTGTAACACTAACAGTGTTTTCAAGATTGCATGATTCTTCTGGGAATCAGACATGTGGAGCTTCAAATTAACCCTTAGTGAACATACTACTGTGAAAACTGCATTTCTGACATTCCTTATTTATGTATAATACTCGTCAATTGATGTAGCATACTGTGGTGGTATTGTGTTCCCCAAAATATTGTGCACCCTAATAAACTTGTCTGGGGTCAGAGAACAAAACAGCCACTAGATACAGAGGCTAGAAAATGGTGGCACTCACACCTTTAATCCTAGCATTCCAGAGGCAGAGATCTACTTGGATCTCTGTGTGTTCAAGGATACAGCCAAGCATGGTGGCTCATGCCTTTAATCCCAGAAAGTGAGCCTTTAATCCCAGGGAATGATGGCAGAAAGCAGAAAGGTATATAAGGCGTGAAGACCAGAAACTAGAAGCTTTTGGCTGGTTAAGCATTCAGGCTTTCGAGAAGCAGTTCAGCTGAGATTCATTCTGGATGAGGACTCAGAGGCTTCCAGTCTGAGGAAACAGGATCAGCTGAGGAACTGGCGAGGTGAGGTAGCTGTGGCTTGTTCTGCTTCTCTGATCTTCCAGCGTTCACCCCAATACCTGGCTCGGGTTTGTTTTTATTAATAAGGACTTTTAAGATTCATGCTACAGCATACTCTTATTAAAAGTACTTTTTTCTTTCAGCTGAGATGAAACCTTTATCATCTTTTTAAATGCCACCAAATTTGTTATCAATACAAGCTACTGGCTGGCATTTATCTACATGGACCTAGAATAAACTGAGCTTCCTCATGTCATTATTCCAATGAGATATTTAATTATTTAGCAAAAGTGCTATGTATTTGCTAATGTTTATGGTTTTCAAATACATGTGCTTAAGGGAGATTGATAAAGTTGTCAATTTTTAGTAATCTGCCTAAGCTTTTGTAATATTTGACTGCAAAGACCTAACTCCTGCTAAGCAAAAATGCAACGTACTGGAAAGATGGGAGTAATTCACAGACAGGAAGAAAAACCTGAAGAACTAGACTCAGAAAGACACATGAAGGACACTCCAGTTTGCACCTGCCATTATAATAAACCTCAAGCCTTTTCTTGGTTCATTAAATTAATCTAATTTGGTTTCAACCTCCTACAAAGTTTAAGTAGTCACCTAAACCACTAACTCTACCCAGTCAGGGATGAGTTACTTTTCTGAAAATATACCACTAGGAAAAAAGAAATGGACCCCGGGAGCTGGACAGCAGTTAGGAGCACTTCCTGCTCTTGCAGAAGAGACACTGGTGGACCACACCCAGTGCCGTCACTGCCCTCACGTGTACATGTACAAACACCCCGGCAGAAGACACAATGAGTACTCTTCTTTAAATGGATACAGGACAGTTAAAATTCTGTGCTCATGTTGATTCAAATGTGTTCTGACTTTTCATATTCTCAGAAATATAGAAACCACTGGCCACTTGAAAGTTGAAAATAACATTCAGTGTTAGGATTACCAAACATGTGGGATCCTGTTTTAACTTCTTTTTAATTACTGCCCTGATGTCATTTTATTTGTGCTGAAGTGTGATTTTATTTGTATGTTAATAAATAAAGTTGCCTGGGGGTCAGAACTTATAGCAAGCCATTTAGCAGAAGTCTGGCATGGCAGTGGTAGCACACGCCCTTAATCCGATCACATGGCAGGCAGAGTCTGTGTGTTCAAAGACACAGCCAGCTTGGTGACACGAGCCTTTAATCCAAGTACCAACCATAGAGACCTGGAGGTCTGTATAGACAGGCAGTGACGAAGAAGTCATGTGGTTGGGTTTAGAACCAATGAGAAGGCAGAACAGAAAGTCAATAAAAGTACAGACACACAGGAAATAGGTCTCTTTCTGAGGTGAAGGTCAGCAGCAACTGGTAAGCTAAAGGCTATTCGCTAGTGCTCTGACCTCTTGGGCTTTTAACTCTTTATTTGGCTCTGTGTTTCTTATTTAATAAGACTGTTTAGAATTGCATCTACACTGCCCTGTTCAAAGTTTTTACCTTCAGAAAACTAGACTTTAAGAATCTACATACACATATACAAAAGAACATATACATATAAAAATTATATATACATACATACATATATATATATATATATATATATATACACACACATAAAAATAGCTGCCTTGGTCCATGTACCCATGCTTCTAGATTTTGCTAAATATGTATTTTCATATTGAATCCAGGCTCATTCAACTTTCAAGATTGGCAGTAGAAGTTATCCTTGTCTGTCTCAAAGTATAGAAATCTTTATTTACTGTTGGTAACCCAAACTTTAACACAGTACAATGTTCTGCTTTTTCCTGGGTGTGTGAACTTGGATTCTTACTTTTTCCTATTTGTTTTTTTCTCTGTAAAACTCTGACAGAGACATTAAAACCTAAAATGTTGTCATCACTCTGAGTGATCTTCAAATAGCTCAGTTTTCAAAAATTTATGTCTTTGCTCTTATGTCTAGCTTCATCCTACCAATCAATCATGAGCCACGTGAGGTAGATATAAAAATACCAGGTGTCCTAAGACACATGTTCTAAGCTCAGTTAGTTCTGCATCCTTGGGCAAAATGTCTTCCCTTATTGCCTCAATAGAAGATAGAGTTCTGATTACATTAATGGTTTTTAAGGGACAATCATATAGAAATGCCAGTGTTCTAACGCCAATAAAATGGGACGATGACCTTTTCTACTGATATCGGAGAAATAACTAGATATTTTCAATTTTTCCTCTTAAAATATTCTTCAAATAACAAGACTTTATTGATCTGTACATGTCGGTTTTTTTCCCTAGGGGTGTGTGTGTGTGTGTGTGTGTGTGTGCGCGCGCGCACGCATAATATATGGTATAAACTCACCTGGGGTTGATAAACTATGTATATACTAAGATTGCATCTAGAAAGCGCAATACAACTATTGGATAACTCTGGACATTTGCGAGGTAAGTGTGCAAAGACCCGAGAACGATCGTGTAAAAACGTTCTATTGGTTAACATACGGCTCTCTGAATTTAACAACTAAAACCCCTCGGCCTGCAACGTCTAAACCTCGTTGTTCCACTTAAGCTCTGCTCCGCAGGGGTCAGAAAAACGGAAGAAGGGAAAGGTCGGCCATCCTTCCTGCGCCTCCGGGCGCTGGGGCGTCTAAAGGGTGGGCAAGCTGCCCGGGGCCCGGCGGTGCGCACTCACTGCCTCCTTCTCGAACATGCTAGGCCGCCTATCTCTCCTAGGCGCCACCGGGGAGTGGTGCGGCGCTTGGCCGGAGGACGCCTTCGTTACTCGGCTTCGCCGATCCATCTTGACGCGTTTCCCCACAAGACGCCGCCGCGCCTCCCGCCGCGGTCCACCCGCTCAACGCCCCCGGCCGGCCGCGACGCCGGAGTGACCCAGTCGTCTCGCGCCGGCCAGCGCCGCACGCAGCCGCGTCCCGGACATCCGGGCGGAAAGGCGTGAGTCATCAGAGAGCGCCACGGCCCAAGCCGGAAGCGATGGAGGTAGGGGGGCGGCCGCCTGCCGGGGCTTCCCGCGCGGCCTGCGTCCAGACCCAGTCCGTGTCCTGGGACACCCCTGCGGGGTGACAGGTCCAGAGCGGGATGCTAAGCTGCAGGGGAAAGCCCAGTTTACAGAACCCGCGTTTGATGAGCGGGAGGAAGCGCCTCAAGTCGGGAATCCATCATTCCACGCACCTACTCGGTGCCTATGGTCCTGGGGTTGTGTTTCATACCAAGGACAGAAATGTTCCGTTCTCACATTTCCTGTGAAGAATCGCTGGTATATATAATAAAGGAGTGCCAGAAGGAATGATGCACTGTTCAGAAAACCCCCCAGCTCCAGTGTCAGCAAGGGTGACTAAAGAAACGATTCAAGTGTTTGAACGTGCACTTTGAAACACACGCATAAAATATGCTTCGTGTCTAAGCACTGTTAGACATATACAGCTTTTTATGGTATCCAGAAAGCATATTAAGAGCTTCCCTACCTTAGTTCTGTCTGTACATAGGATAGGATTTTCTTTTGACTTGAGTGTAATAATGCCCTTTATATTTTATATTTCAGATTTTAACAGGAGATTCCATTACTACCTGCCTTTCTCCTTTAGTGCATGACTTGATTTGTAACCTTGGTTTTGAACTCAGAGAAAACTGTGATATCAATAGCATTGTATCTCAAAATGGTGAAGTATACTGGGAAGCAATTACAGACCGTGTGAGCTATGCAGAATCAGGTTTGTCTTGTACAAAAGTACACTGAAAATGTTTGGGCCTGTAAAACCTGCCTTGGTTCTTTTTTCTTGGAGGATGTTATAATGTAGTTGTCAGAGGAGAAAGAGAATCCTGAAAAAGATAGAAAAGTCAAGAGATGCTTAGCTAAGAAAATTGTGTGTGAGCAGGAGGCAGGCCAGGAATGCTGGAACCAATCTCAGGGCCTGGGTCCAGTAGTCAGTAGGTGTATATACAGCATGGATCCTCTGGATAAAGGACAAGACAGAGGGGTAGTGCCTCTCATCGTGTTACTCAGAATAGCACCTAATTCACAATGTAAATTATTTATGGAATTTGATATTTTTATGCTTGATCACGAGTAACTAAAACTACAGCCACACATTCTCTGCTGGTGGTAAAGCCTTATATGATTCATTTCTACTGAGCTGCAAGTATACTTATCATATGTCCAATTTTAAGCTGCTTGGTTTTGTAAGCATTTTGTAATTAAAGCTTTTCTTTGATTTTTACTTTTTTTTTTTTCATCCTGTGGCATAGAGCTGTGGAACTAAAACTTATTTTCTCCACCTATAAGGGCAGAGTCTGGATTACAGGAGAAGCGTACTGCTGTTGGGTCCTGTCTGTGAGGCCATCCATCTGCATATCTCATCTCTGACCAGGGCACAGTTTGAAATTAAGTATTCACCATGGTTCCAGTGGACAGCCTATCCAGAGGTTTGACATTTTCATATCTTTATAAATAAAATATTTTGCAAATTGGAAATCCTCATTACTTGCCAAGTTAAGGGTGCCTTTTTCCATCTTTGGCCTTCCAACTTTGAATAGGTCTTGGGGGCTGCAAGAGAAATCTAAGTAGTTTATACGTAGGCTCTGAAGCCTGAGTTGAAGAACATACCACTTTGAACAACTTTTGGGCTCCATTAGGCAGGCATTTGTCTTAGTTAGGTTTCTTGCTGTGAAGAGATGACCTCACCATGACCACAGCAACTCTTATATAGGAAAACATTTAATGGGGGCTGGCTTATAGTTTCAGAGGTTTAATTCATTGTCATGACGGGAAGCAAGGCAGCGTGCAGGCAGACATGGTACTGGAGAGGTAGCTAAGAGTTCTACATTTTGATCCACAGGCAATAGGAAATGAACTGACTTGAGCTTCTGAGACCTCAAAGCCCACCTCCAGTGACATACCTCCTCTAACAAGCCACACCTACTCCAGCAAGGTCACACCTCCTAATAGTGCCATTCTCTGTGGGACAAGCCTTCAAACACATGAGTCTAAGGGGGCCATTCCTATTCACACCACCACAGCATTAGAAGATAAAGTCCACTTTAGCATCAGAACTCCCAGGGAGATGACAAGGTTAGATCAGATAGTAGGTGCTTGGTTTCTTTAAAGGGAATTGAAAAAAAGATAGTCATTTGGGTCCTAATGCAAATCTTGTGTGGTTTGCTTTTTTTCGTTTCCTGTGTTTGATTTGACACGTTAAAGGACTGTAATAAAACAATACCTGTAACATGTCTGATTCTAAAACAGAGCTGGGAAGGTGAGCTGCCTTATACAGGAACTAAACTAAATCATTACGGAAATAAGAAGTAGGTCAAAATGCTTGGTTTCAATTCATTATTATGCCAAATTTATACTTCGAACAAACATTTAAAGAAAGAATTTTCAAAGAACTCCTTAGGTATTAAATAATTTTATTATATTATTTCAATGGAAACAATTTGCTTATGTCAAAAATTTAAGTGTAGTAGTTGAAATATTAAGAGGTTTGAATTCAGTAATAGTAATGCAATACAAATTTTGTTTTGAGAATTATTTTTCATTGAATCTGAGCTCTACTGTGTGTTTTACTCTAAATAGCTGTTTCTTGAAATATTTGATGCCTTGAAAAGCCTGTGCCCTCCTGCCATCTCCCTCAGCGTGATGAAATTGGCTTCCTGTCTGGAACGGGCCTTAGGCGATGTGAGTGTGAGAATCCTCCTTGTTTGCTAGATTACCTGGATGAACACAAAAACTTCAGATTTCTTGGTTCATATATTGCTCTCTTGTTAAATACAGTGATTTTCTTTTTACATAATTAAGAAATTCCTGTACCTATGAGCCTGGGAGATGTCGCAATAGATCAAAGGACTTGCTGTGTAAGCATGAATACCTGAGTTTAGATTACAGCGCCTGCCCATCTCCAAACATGAAAAGCTATGGATGGTTGCTTCTACACCTCTGTAACCCCACACTGGGGTTGGGGGGTGGCGGGCGGAGACAGGAGGCTCACTGGAGCTTTCTGGCCTCTATTCCAGCTCCAGCTTCAGTAAAAGACCCTGTCTCAAGGGAATAAGGTGGAGAGCGATAGAGTAAGACACCTGATGCCCTGCTCTGGCCAGTGTGCTCACACGTGTGCCAGAGTGCACACCAGCACACACACACACACACACACACACACACACACACACACACACACACAGGAAAGGAAATCTATGTCTAAGCACTTCTCTGTTCATCTGTACTATGTATCATAAATCTCACTCTATTTTAAATTTTGCCTCATTATAATATAGTTATTGTATGATTTCTGTTTGAATTTTAGGTATTTTTACTGATTGGGAAGGAGTGCCCCTTTCTTCTAAGAGATCTTCTTGCATCTGCAGAGCTTGCACAAGTCTTTGGACATGCTGTGGTAAGTATGTCAATTATACATAAAGCATAGCGTAGCTGGCATGAGCTGTGCTTTCGATTTTCCAAAACTGCAGAACTCTGGGGAAACACTAACTATTTCACCGATTTAAGTGTATCCTCCCTTCCTTCTGGAGCTGGCCCACTTCCACATATTCCACAGGGTCTCTCTCCCCACATTTGATGGTGCTCAAATAACCATATAGGTCCAACCAGAGAAGCAGTTAGAAGCATATCACTTTGTTCAGTTAAGCATTCATAATGGTAGTACTAAGTCACTACAGACTACGTTTAGCACTTTGGAATGATAGTATTACATTTTTGTCCTAAAATACCTGTGTTTTTAACAGGTAGGAATTTATACCTTTTGCGGTCATTCAGACTTATAGTGGCAAAAAGAAAATAGAACTTGGTGAAAAATTATAGAGGCCTTTATACTTTTCGGAATATTCTAGAGGGACTAATCAAGAGACTTCAGACTAGATGGTGACATGTAGGGAGCTCAGTGAGGCAGAAGACCAAAACAACCATCTTAGTTAGACAAAGTCCACCAAATTTACTATTTGGGACTAAGAGACTATCTTCAGTGAACCCTCCTACTGCTCACTGGCATCATTTCCCTTGCCAGCTTGAAAATAATTTTCTGGTAGAGGGCCTGGCATAAGGCTGGAGTGTGGCCTCTCGTTGTTATGCTGAATCATTAAACACATTTTGTTCCTGCCTGCCTGCTTGCCATTCACCATCTAACTCTGAATGGCCACTTTTAGCCTCTAGATGATTTCTTGTGGCCGCTGATAGATAGATGGCATTTGGTATATAAACTAGGGGAAGGGAGCAGGGGCTTCTGAGGTTCCTTCAAAGATATGGCTGTTGAACACTGGTGTTGGGTTGAACCCCTCTGAGCTTTCCACCTGCTGGTTCTGCTTCAGAGGCTCAGAAAGCACCTCTCTCCTCTGCTCTGCAGCAGCCCAATGTAAACCAAGATTGCTTTCGTTTCTTTCCTGAGGGCTGACTGTCCTCTCTCATGAGTTTGTCTGAGGAGGTGGGGACACAGGACTTGGCTGACTAGCTATGGCTGCTTTTCTCATCCTTTTTACCACATAGGCCCACACTACCTGGTCTGGAGTTTGTATCCATTTTCTGATGTGTTCAGATCCTGGGCCCCTCTGTTGTGTAGTATTAAAGCCATGTATTCTGAGTCAGCTCCTCATCCTAGGACTGCCTTGAAGGTCTGGTCTCTGAAACCTTGGCTTTATCTTCTTCACTTGTGTTTCTTTCTGTGCACAGTGGGAAATGATAGTGCCTTCCTCAGAGGTGGTTCTGGGGATCATTCAAAAATATGTCTAGCATGTGCTAAATACTCGATAAGTGTTGGTTTCAGCCCAGTGAAATGGCTTATTGGGTAAAGGTACCTGCCACCAAGACTCATGACTGTAGTTCAATCTCCAGCACCCACATGGTAGAAGGAAAGAATCAGCTCTCATAAGTTGTCCTCTGACCTCTACATACTGGTACACATTAAGTGGAAATGTGTAGAATTTTGATGTTAGTTTCATTCTTGTTACTACTTTATGCCGGCAGAAACTGTTGGCTCTCTTGGTTCTAAGGGAGAAGCAAACATTGTAGGACTGAATTTATTTACTCTACTAGTCAGTAATCTGCTGTCTTAATGGATTAGATGGACATACTGAAGGTCTTCATCGGGTCTCCCTGTGGACTCAACCTGAGGAACATCTTGTGGCATGGCTTTGCTTCCCCTCAAGACATTCCTCCAAAGTAAGTTGTTGGCTAAGTAACTTTCTTCCTTCATCTGCTTAAGGATTTGCTATACCTTGAATTTCCCAAGAGGAAAGGGTTAACTGTGAAAGATGGGAGGATTTGAGGCATGAATGGTCAGGTCGCATGTTAACAGTGTGGTAACTGGAGGGGTGAGAGTGTATGTTCCGGTGCCTGGCACCCAGAGAAGCGCAGACAGAGAAGCCTGGAGCGGCAGCAAGCCCGGCACTCTGAAGTCTGACGGCCTTCCCAGCTGCTGCGCAACCTGGCCATCTCTGGAGAGTTCTGGAATTTGTTGGTTTTCTTTCTTAGTTCTTTTTTTTTTTTTTTTTTTTTTTTGGTTTTTCGAGACAGGGTTTCTCTGTGTAGCTTTGTGCCTGTCCTGGATCTCGCTCTGTAGACCAGGCTGGCCTCGAACTCACAGAGATCCACCTGGCTCTGCCTCCCGAGTGCTGGGATTAAAGGCGTGTGCCACCACCGCCCGGCTCTTTCTTAATTCTTTTAATTTTTATATTCATTTATACATGTGTACATATGCCACAGTATTTGTGTGGAAGCCAAAGGACAATTGTGGGGAGTGGTTCTCTCCTTCCAGATATGGTTCTAGGGATTAAACTGAGGACATCCAGCTTAGCTGCAGTCTCCTTTAGCTGCTGAAGCATCTCAGTCCTCCTTCTTGCATAATTTTAACATTTTTTTTCTAAGAAAAGTTCTTTATATGAATAACTAAGTTCATTTTCTGGTTTCTGGTCTTCCCTAGGTACTGTTCAGCTATGATGTTGTTTACAGCAGGACTGGGTCAGTTACTGAAGAGCTACCTTCACCAAGAAAACGTCACACTGGCACATCGACCTTTTGTAACTCTTACAAACCTAGAGGATGTGATCGTTTTCCCTGGCAAGTTCTGTCTCACACTGCCCCTTACTGTGTCTTCATGGAGGCATTGCACAGTTTGTAAATAGCATCAGACTTGAATTTCTTGATGAAGAACTTACTTATCATTGCCAAGTTGGCTTTGTAAGTTACTTGAAGAACCTTTTAGATGTCTCCCCTTCTCACTGTTCTGGTGCTGTTGGGGACCCCGAGAGTCACTGTTAGAACTGGCCTCTTCCACAGATGTGCTACCCTTCAGAACATCTTGGGGCCATCATATTTGTTTCTCTCTCCTCTCGCCTGTCTGCGTCTGTGCTGGTGGCCATTGTATCAGCTGTGCCAGCAACAGACAGGGTTGCCGTGTCCTCTGAGGATACCCTGCTCCTCTTGGTCAGTGTGCTGAACTAGGGGACCCTGGGTGCTACTCTCATTTGCTGCCCAAGTTCCTGACGAGATTCGCTTGTCCATCTTTCCTCTTGGCAAGCTTCCCGAGGCTGTGGGTCAGGTACTCTTCCGTTTTAGGGGTGCTCTGCCTCCGGTCACAGTTTATTTGTCCACATGCGCCCCTGACTGCTTTCAGTTGGCTACTGTGGTTGTATTTGTAAGGGTACTTGCTTTTTCCCAGGTGTTACTGATGAGGTTCTCTCAGCATTAGAGAACGTGATGATGAAATCTGCCTTCTTATTAAAAGCCATGTTACCATACTGGGAAACAGCAGTGAGCAAGTTCAAGGTGCACAGGTAACAAGGGTGGGTGGTGTTGGTGCTTAGATGCCAGGCCTGTTCCATTCCCTTCACTGTCTAAAGCCCGGTTACTGTCCTGACAGAGTGAGTAGGGGAGAGACCGACTCAGATTAGGCTCAGTACAGAGTGTCTTCCTTTTTTTTTTTTTGGTTTTTCGAGACAGGGTTTCTCTGTGTAGCTTTGCGCCTTTCCTGGGACTCACTTGGTAGCCCAGGCTGGCCTCGAACTCACAGAGATCCGCCTGGCTCTGCCTCCCGAGTGCTGGGATTAAAGGCGTGCGCCACCACCGCCCGGCTCAGAGTGTCTTCCTTTGATAACTTAGACGAGCTATAAATATTTCAAGCATCCCCTGTCATCCTCTTGGTGCAATTGATAGAACTTTCTTTTTTCTTTTTTCTTTTTGAGACAGGGTTTCTCTGTATAACAGTCCTGGCTATCCTGGAACTTGCTTTGTAGACCAGGCTGGCCTGGAACTCACTGAGATCCACCGGCTTCAGGCTCCCAAGTGCTGGGATTAAAGGCGTGTGCCACCACTGCCCGGCTATATAACTTTCTCTTTTTCAAGAATAAACTTCTTAGTGTATTTTCTGCATTCTTACTGTAAGAAAAACATTGAACCTAGCAGTAGAGAACCTAGAAGAGAGAGAGAAAAAAGGACAGGTATGTTTGGCTGTTAGATTCTGGTAAAGGCCAACCCTGTGTGGAAGCCAGGTACAACATGTTTTCCGGGGTAGAGACTGGAGAGCCAGTCAGTTGGTCGCTGCTGGTCCTCAGAGAGCCTCACTCTGGATTCACTTTGTACTTGAGCTGCCCTCTGGAGCTGTGCTACTCTGGAGCCCTCTGCAGGGACATGCAGAGTACGTCGATCTTTGATGACATTTTGTTCCACTGAAACTACTAAAAATATTTCATCAAGCATTAAAATTCCAAAACATGGTCTTAGAGTCCCTAGTCTGATTAGAGTTGGAGTCCCTCACTTTGCTTCTCACATTAGAAAGGTCTGTACCTGTTTTCGGCGCCACACTGGCATGTCTAGGCTGCAGTGCGGTCACCGTGGTACTTGGGTCCCACAGGTTTGCCGACTGCACCATGCTGTTGCTGTCACAGCTAGAAGCTGGACTCAGGAGGGTGTTTGCTGCAGTTAACAAATGTCCTGACAGACTCCTCACCGCCGAGGTACATGTGCTTCTGTTACTCAATTGACAGTTTTATGTGACTGCAAAACCCTGGGTCCAATCCCTTACAGCACACACACACACACACACACACACACACACGCACGCACGCACGCACGCACGCACGCACACATACATGCACGCACGCACACAAACACACACATACACACACAAGCACACACACACACTCCACGTTATTTGCTGTTAAAGCATACATTTATTTTAATTGTGATTATGTAAGATAGTTCTGTTTCCAAATGGCCCTTTAAACTTCATGATGTTATGAAAGCAGTAGCACCTTCTGAGAGCCAGAATTGTTTTTCACTTTGAATGATATTACTCCTTTGTTTTAATTATTTCTCTTTTATCTCTTCCCCTTTCTACAGTCAACAATTCTATATACCACATTTGATGAAGTAAGTAGTCAAACTTGCAAGAAACCTTGAAAAAAAATCATCTCCTTTTAAGTACAAATCAAAACACAAGGATGAGGGCTGGAGAGATGGCTCAGTGGTTAGGAGCACTTGCTGTTTGTGCAGAGGACCTGGTTCAGTTCCAAGCACCCACATGGCAGTGGCTCACAACCATGCGTAGACATGCACGTGGTGCTGCACATACACACATGCAGGCAAGGTACTCATGCACATAAAATAAGCAAATTTAAAATAATTTAACACTACTAATAAAAACCACAAAGATATAAACAGCATGTTTACAGGAAAATGTTGGTAAACGAGAAGAAGCTTATGCTAGATTTGAATGCAGCTCTGGGGCCTTGCTTGAGTTGACTGAATGATTGATTGGCACTCATGATGCTGTGGGTTTAGTCCCCAGCACTGAATACACCCAGAATGGCAGCATATACCTGTAATCCCATCACTTGTGAAGCAGAGGCAGGATTTGGAGGCAACCTGTAGCACTTGAAAATCTGTTTCAAACAAATACATTTAAATAGCTTTCAGGTTAATTTTGAGGCCTTAGTATTATTAATCTCATTTCTGTAGTTGCACAAAACACAAAGTGGGAAAATGCAAACAGATTGACATGACTGGCTATGACCACTGTTGAGAACAACTGTCCTTAACCAGTGTGACAACTTTAGAAGTATGAATATTCTAATTGTGTGTGTACAGATCAATGTCCGTGTGTGTAGGTACATGAGTTTGGTTATGTATTATGCATATGTGTGTGTCAGTTTAACAGCCTGTTGATTAATCTATTTTTGGTGTTTTAGATACTGGCAAAACACTTGAATGATGGTAGCATCAACCAGCTTCCTCATTTCCTCGGAGAGCCTGCCATGGTAAAGATTTGGGTATCTTAGGTCTCTCTGTTTGTGAACATGCTGGTGTCTAGAGCCAGTGTGACTTGTGGTGTGCTCAGGACCTGACCTGCTGCTGTGCTGTCCTCCTGTCCTGTCACAGACACTCATCAGGAGTGACTGCCTGTGGGCTCTGGGCTTTGTTTATTCTGGTTAGTGCCATGCCCTTTGAATGCCTGACGACTTGGCTGCCCTCTTTCTAAACATGTTTTTATTTATTGGTTCTATGTATTTTTGGTAAAGAACGAGCTATATTTGCTTTATAAAATTTAGCAACAGTCAAATATCTCTAAGATTAAGTGTAGTCAAATATCTCTAAGATTAAGTGTTGGATAAAACAGATTAATGTTTTGACCCATTTTCCAATCAGCATTTTATATTTTATCGGGACACTACAGTGACTGCTCTAGACTGTAGTAGATACTTTTTGTCTATTCCACCTCACTGAGAGAAGAGCTGGGTTCTGCTTCCCATTCCTTATGTGATTTTGGCATCCCTTCCTACCCACAGACAGCAAGATGACTAATTTATCTGGTATTCTTTTTTGTCTTGCATTCCCTGGACTCTTCCTCTGTTGGCAGTCTGCCCACATCAGTGGTTTTCTGACCTTTTTCTCCATAGTCTGGCAGAGAGAGACTTTGGGCATGTACTGTTAGAGGAGGGAGCAGCTCTCTTTGTTGATGTGAGATGCAGGAGTGGTCCATGGGGAATGTAGGGGAAGGAATGGGCCAAGGAGACCTGCTTGGTTATGCTCATTCCAGCAGGAGGAGTGTTTATCTCCCTTCCACATAGGAGGGTAAGAAAAACAGAGATAAGTGCCTTGAGCAGCAGCCCCTTCCAGGCAGCTGCCCCAATGGTTGGTGGTCAGCTCCTGCAGGCAGGCCCTGTGAGCAAGAGCGCCCATGTGAGCAAGAGCGCCCTGCGACAGTCCCAGCTGCAGGAGGGGGTGAATGCCCTCTTTGAGACTCACATTTCCCATCAGTTTGTAAACAAGCCAGGAGCTGCCTGGAACCCTGCCTTGTGCCTTTGCCTGTGCTCACAACATTCACAGAATGCGTCTCTGTTAATTTTCTAAAAGGAATTCTTGTGGGATTTCCTGAACTATCAGGAGGGTCCTCGTATCCGGGATCGTTTAAGCCATGGGGAGATCAACTTACGTGAATTTCCGAGAGAAGCAGCAAGCCAGCTGCTCACATTCTCCCTGGTGCTTCTGCTCAGATTCACTGCGGAAGACACATTGACAGAGCTGAAGGTACCACAGAGGGGAGAGGGTGGCTGTCAGGATTACCATCACTAGCAATGGAAAAACATGTCTTATTTTTCAAATATGATTAGCTATTGACCATTTTTTCATTTTAATTTGAGTTACAGTATTATTCCATCAGAATATCTGTAAATTAACAACACACATGCATGCATTCTCTGAAAATCAGAGTTTTGAATCTGAAATAATTTGTCCTCTCATAAACACATCTTTGCCTTTCTTCTTCATAGCAGTGTTGGTATTAAAAAACCAAAGAACAGGTTATAAGACATGATTTGCCAAATACAGGAAACTCCTACAAATATATATCAAATTCATGGAACAGGGTATTTGCACTTCTGAAACTAATGATTTTGTTATTTTAAAGTAAATAATTTTAGTTATAATATTGCAGGTGGTATTTTTGTTTTTAGATTATATATATGGCAATTGTTTTTTAAGTTGTTTAAAAGTCTAAGCAAGATTGAAAAATTATTATAATATGTAAAGGCCATCAGGAATCCCCTTTGCCAGAGATGAAAGCTGTTAAAAGTTGGGTGTCCTTGCTTCTCTGTTCTTTCCACAGGTATCCCCAGATAGGCTCATAGGAAGAAATGCTTTGTCCTTTAAGCAGTGTTTTTCATTGGCTATTTTTGGGATCTTTGCTGTGCCTGCCCTTTTTGTTGGCTGTCTGTCATCCTGTTGCATCAGTCGACCATCGTTTAGATAAATGATCTCCATTTGGGTGTGTGAGCTGTCCCTTTGACAGAAGAAACTCTGAGTGCAATGGTGGAGGACTGGTTCATTTGGGCCCCTCTGCTAGTGAGTTTGCAAAAGTAAGGCCTGTGAGAGACAGACAGACAGCAGTAAGGCCTGTGACAGACAGACAGACAGCAGTAAGGCCTGTGACAGACAGACAGACAGACAGCAGTAAGGCCTGTGACAG